TGATCCGTCCAGAACCAAGAGAACTCAAGCTGGGGTCTGGTGCCCATCGTGTCTGCACCTGTGACCACGCCCAAGTGTGCGTGGTCCGTGCAACAGTTGAAAGCAGGGTGGATATCTCACTACAATAATAATATTTAGGAGACTCTGATCTGTAGTGGAATAAAGGGAAGGGTGCCTTTAGGGCAAGACCCCATGCAGCCAAGCTTCCGACTTGTAAAAGGAAAAGACCAAAGGAATGTTCTGCTCCTGGAAAGGAACAACAAACGAAAGGTACTCCAAATGCAACTCAAGAGTTCAGGGCTCATTCCAAGCTGGTGGCCAAATATGACAGAGCCATTCAATAATTATGGCTTTAGAGTCACGAAGGACACGTGAGTGATGGGGTTGTGAAATCTTACACTGTATTTTCACAGAGCTGCTGAGGCCATGTGTGTAGCAAAGTCCCTAAGAGGTCATTTCATGAAGATGTGGAAATGAAGCTTTATTCCACCAGAGACTCCCGAGATGTGGAATTTGCTAGAGCCATGGGATATGTGAAGAAGAGCTGAACACAAAGAGTGGAACCAGCCCAAGAGAGAGGCAGGCACCAAAGCTGAAGGGGTGGAGCCATGCAATTTGGGTTTCTCCTCTAATGTGTAACCAGGTTTGTTTATTTCAAAATTCAACAGTTGAATCAGATTCAACTTCAAGTGGCTATGTAACAAAAAAAATTGCCCCATGTCTCCTGGATTAAATTCCAAGACATCTAATGCCCTACATGTGATCATGTGGAATAAAATTTAAGTGGAATCTTTCATTCATAAAAATCAGTTATTTCTTTTAGCAGAAGGCTCCTGTCCTCAACCTTACCAGCCCCAGTCACCCTAAAACATAGATAAGGATATTGGGCCAAAATCCAACAGCCCTACTTACAGAAGATGAGCTAACAGGAGATCTTACCTCCCTCCCATGGGCCTCTACCTTAGTCCCTCTATCAGAGCAAGAATAATAGGTATGTCCTGCACATTGTCCCTACCCAGCTTTAAATTGCTACAAAAGGAATGGCACACTTTTCATGTCAAAGATTTGCCATTGTTAATCTCTTAGTAGGGAAATACAGATGCCAATTAAAGCAATTTAAGATGAGTGGGTATGATGAGTTGTTTTTGACTCAGGACAAGACCTTCACTGCCTCAAGGTCAGGTTGTTATTAACCACAATAAACCCCAAATGTATTTGCTCCAGGGCACTATGACATTGAAACACTGCTTGATTGCCTATGTAGAACACTCTATAAAAACAACAACCTTTACAATGCCTCTGTGCAAACCAAATGGCTCACACTTGTAATCCCCACAATTGGGAGACAGAGGCAGAAGCACTGAATCTAAGGCCAGTCTTGTCTGTATAACAAATCTGAGGCTACCTATGTGAGACCCTCTCTCAACCTTTATTAAAATTGGATGAGGAGAGTTCAGAGGATTATCAGAACTCAGGAGAAAATTTAGGGGATACTGGAGAGTTGAGTGATGGGGGACCTCCTTCTGTATATGTTTGTCTTATTGGTTGATAAATAAAGTACTTTTGGCTAATAGGAAAGCAAGATAGGTTAGACTAGGAGTCAAGGAGGATTCTGGGAAATGTAGTAAAAAGATCCAGGCAGGAAGTGACATAGCATGCAGACTCAGAATATAAGCAGGGAGAAGAAGGAAATCGTCCTCTTGCTCTTGCTCTTCCTCCTGCTCTCTGCTCTGGAGCTGCGATGTGATCCTCCAGAAAGAGAGGGTGCTTACTGCCGGCATCCTCCACAAGATAAGTCTTATGATTATGTTTGATAATTAAGACTGAGCTAGCAGATAAGAAATCCCAGTCATTGGCCAAGCAGCATTTTTACCTAATATAAGTCTCTGATGTTACTTGGGACCTTAATGTGGCCCCGGGGGTTGGGGTGGGGAACACTCAGGAGGCCTGGTGGAAAGCGCCCACGTGGCAGCAGGGCTTGGGTGGATGGAGTAAAGACTTATTGTTATAGTTGAGGGCAATTAAAATAATAGTAGAGGTAGTTAGTAATGAGAAGAAAGCATTTCCTGAGCATGGAAAGGGACCCATCAGGAAGATAGCTCAACTGCAGTAGAATTAGGAAATATCTGTCTCTGTAGTTAATTACGATAGCATGTTAGCAGTAAGGGTGAAGGGTAAGGACTAAGAATATTCACTCATACTGGGGTGTGTGTGTGTGTGTGTGTGTGTGTGTGTGTGTGTTTGTGTGTGTGTGTGTTTGTGTGTGTGTATTGTGTGGTTGTATATGATGATATACATGCATACATGAAATGCATTGTTCTAGTCTGTTTTCTGTTGCTATATGTGATGGTCTCATAAGATTAGATTGGGAACGGAATATTTTCTACCCCGTAGTTATGGAGCTTTTATAAATTGTAACACATTATTCATATTTTTGTGGCAAGCACACCCTGTGTTTCTAGTCATACGGAAGTAAAATACTTAAGATTACAGTGTGTTCTGCTGTTTAGATAAAGAAATAACACATTTCTCAGAAATGTACACCTTAAGCAAAACATGATTGTATTTGGTCCTTATCTTGGTCCTGAGTGCACTATATCAGAAACAAAGATAAATATATTTGTGTCAGAATTTATTGAGTAACCATGAACTTGCAGCATACAGCAGTTTTATTGACAGCAAGAAATCTCAGTTTCTTTGGTAGCCAGGTGAGGCTAACACATGTCCTTTTATATCAATCTGGGTGTGTGTGTATGTAGTGTAATGGTGTGTGTGTGTGTGTGTGTGTGTGTGTGTGTGTGTGTGTGTGTGTGTGTGTGTATGTAGTGGTGTGTGTGTGTGTAGTGTAGTGGTGTGTGTGTGTGTGTGTGTGTAGTGTAGTGGTGTGTGTGTGTGTGTAGTGTAGTGGTGTGTGTGTGTAGTGTAGTGGTGTGTGTGTGTATGTAGTGTAGTGGTGTGTGTGTGTGTGTGTGTGTGTGTATGTAGTGTAGTGGTGTGTGTGTGTATGTAGTGTAGTGGTGTGTGTGTGTGTATATGTAGTGTAGCGGTGTGTGTGTATGTAGTGTAGTGGTGTGTGTGTGTAGTGTAGTGGTGTGTGTGTGTGTATATGTAGTGTAGCGGTGAGTGTAGTGGTGTGTGTATATGTAGTGTAGTGTAGTGGTGTGTGTGTGTGTGTGTGTGTGTGTGTGTGTGTGTGTAGTGGTGTGTGTGTGTAGTGTAGTGGTGTGTGTCAGGCCAGAGGTCAAAGTCAGGCATCTTCCTCTATTATTATCTATCCATTTATTTATTTATTTACTTACTTACTAATTGTAAGTCTAAGAGCTCAGGTTTCAGCTAGCCTGCCCTTCTTTTCCTTTTAATCTTGTAACAACCCCAGAATCTAAAGCATTATATAATTCTTTTCACAGCTCATTGTCTACTCTCTATCCCACTAAAAAGTAGTCAAACCAAATGACGTTCCCTTTTGTTCTCTGGTCTGTTTCAAAAGCCTTACAACGCAATACGATTTCAAGTAACTGCGGGGGTCTTTTCCGGACTGTGTTGGCTGGCCTCACCACCATTCTTACAAATGCACTTACAATGCACTCCACGATCAAGACTCCACAGTGCTGCCAGGCCTCCACTGCAGCTGCGCACCAGAACAGCAGAGCAAGTCGACTCCAAATCCCAGAATCCCTGGATCCTGGAGTGGACTACATTTCCCAGAGCCTGCGTGTCCGCTGTCCTCGGACT